AGGAGTTGAACATGAGGCAGAGGAGATGGATGGAGTTCATAAAGGACTACGACTTCGAGCTGAGGTATCATCCTGGCAAGGCCAATTTGGTAGCTGATGCTTTGAGTCGGAAATCCAGTAGCTCATCCAGTTTGTTACTTGGTAACTTCGATGTGGTTGAGAAGTTTCAAAACTTGGCAGTGACCGCTCCGCGTGAGGGTGTACTTCTCTAGATGGAAGCAGGAGATGTTGTGAACGAGCTGTAAGAAAAGATCAAAGAGGCACAAGTTCAGAGAGAGTGTCTGGATTATGTGAAGAACCAAGACGGTGTGTCTTGGAACGACGATGGATTGCTTTTGTTTCAGCAGAGGATTGTGGTTCCTCGAGGTCCGTTGACCGAAGTAGTTATGGCAGAAGGCCATAAGGGTCAGTTTTCTATCCACCCTGGTGCTACTAAGATGTATCAAGACCTGAAGAAGAACTTCTGGTGGTCGGGCATGAAGAAAGATGTTGTTGTCTTTGTGTCCAAGTGTTTGGTTTGCCAGAAGATGAAGATTGAATATCAGAGACCGTCTGGTGAACTTCAACCTCTTGAAGTACCACAGTGGAAGTGGGAAGGTATTTCCATGGACTTCGTGGTGGAATTGCCTAAGACTCAGGCGGGTTGTGACTCTATTTGGGTCATTGTGGACAGAATGATGAAGTCTGCCCATTTTCTTCCAGCGAAGGTGAGCTTCACTACAGAGCAGTTGGCCAAGCTTTATGTTCGCGAGATTGTGAGGCTTCACGGGGAGCCCGAGAGTATCATTAGTGATAGGGACCCAAAGTTCACATCTCGGTTCTAGGAGGCGCTGCAGGAGGCTTTTGGTACGCAGTTGAGATTGAGTACCACCTATCACCCTCAGACTGATGGACAGACTGAGAGGACAATCTAGACCTTGGAGGACATGTTGCGAGCTTGCACGTTGGAGCAGGGCTTGGCATGGGATAGGTACCTTCCGTTGGTAGACTTTTCGTACAACAACAGCCTTCATGCTAGCCTGGGCATGGCGCCCTACGAAGCACTGTATGGTAGGAGGTGTCAGACTCCTACTTGTTGGTCTGAGGTTGGGGACAAGGAGCTTTTTGGCTTGGACTTTTTCCAAGATACCACCCAGCAGATCCAGATGTTCAGAGAAAAGTTGAAGCAGGCGCAGGATCGCCAGAAGAGCTACTATGATGTCAAGCATCGCCCACTGGACTTCAGTGAGGGTGAGCACGTGTTTGTGAGACTTTCACCTGTCACCGGTGTTGGTCGGGCACTCGGAGTGAGGAAGCTGAACCCGCGATATATTGGGCCATACCAGATTCTTGGTAGAGTAGGACCTATTGCCTACCGGCTTGCCTTGCCTCTGAACTTGGCCAACATCCACGACGTGTTTCACGTGTCTCAGCTTCAGAAGTATATAGCAGATCCTTCGCACGTGGTGCAACCGGATGATGTGGAAGTTCGGGAGAACCTAAAGACTCCCGTCGGACCACTTAAGATTCTTGATCATGGCGAGAAACAGCTGAGGAGCAAGATCATCCTGATGGTCAAAGTGCAGTGGACCGGAAGAACTCCTGAGGAGTGTACTTGGGAGCGTGAGGACGAGCTTCTCCGGCAGTACCCCGAGTTTCGAGCAGGTATGTTTTCTGATTTTGAGGACAAAATCCTAAAAAAGTGGGGTGAATGTAAGAACCCGCACCGTTAATTAAAGAAATTAAGTAATTAATTATCTTAAATTAGGAAATGATTCCATAATTGACCCTAATAATTATTAAGAGGCTTTAATAATTATGATAAGTGTTTAAGAACGCTGTAAGTCGCTTTTCGGAAGAAAAGTGCAGATACCGGTTCTGCTAGTCGGTATAAATGTGTATCGAAAAAGTATCCCGGAAAATAATAATAAGTGGATGATAATTACTAGAATGATATGTATGACTTGTAAAACGAGTTTCAAGTCAAAATAATAAGAACTAGTGCCAGAAACTGATACTGGCTATGAAAAGCGCGTACCGGAAAGTTGTTCCGAAAAATATAATAAAAATATGATAATTCTTGTAAAATTGTGTAGTTTAAGAATCCTGAGTTTGGGATTAAAATGCTAAGCGTAGAAATTAAAGTTAATATTGTGTGGCTAAGTGTGTTTGGGCTATAAATACTCTTATTATGGGCACAAAACCCTAGGATCAGTTTTCTATATGTGAGTTTGGGGCTGACCATCTGCTGGTTACTGTTCCATTGGCCTTCCCTTCCATTTCTTGAGCCAAGTTGTGATCTTTCTTGATTTTCTTCACATTTCCTCCTTGTAAACACTTGTGGGTGGCTTTGTGAGGGTGAGAGATAGCTTTGTCTTGGTGTTCCAGCTACTGTGTTTGAGGGTGGTAGGCTGAGTTGGTGAGTTTGAGTTGGTTGAGCCTTTGTTAAGGCATTTTGAGCTACAAAGTATCACTTTTGGGGAAGAAAGAACTCATCTTGTTGAGCCATTTTCGTTTTCCTTGGAAGTCAGAAGTGTTGGAGCTGTTTGGAGAGCTCCAAGAGCCCTTGTCTTTCTGTTTTGAGCTTTGGTATGTTGTACCAACCTTTGATCATGAGTTTAATGCTTAAAAATAGAACCTTGATGCATGTAATGATTAAAAGATGATAACCTAACGTTGGGTAATGTCAAACGCACTTAGAAATGCGTGTTTAGGCTTCTGTAATTGATAAAAATGGAACCTAAGAAGGATATCTTCGCGAAATGCAGAAACTGCATTCTGTCGCGAAATATCCGGATATTTGGTCGACAAATATCCGGATATTGATATCCGGATATTTTCCCGAGGAATATCTGGATATTCTAGGATTTCATAGAACAGTAGCTGTGTTGTGTGTACAGTAGGCTATTGGGGGTTTGTGGATCCTAGATTGATGAAATTGAACTTCTGTTTTATATGAACTAAGTTAGAATCGTGTGATTAAGGGCTTATAGCTTGTGTGAAGCCTTAAGACGTAAAATGTAATGAGAAGGCGTGGTCTTAATATTATATGCTTGTGGTGCATGTTTATTGATTTATTATTGGTCCATATTAGATTGTGATCTGCTGTGTGTTGGACTTGAGCCGTGTGGAATCTTGGCATTGGATAGTGAGCTTGCAAGGTAAGCTTTTGTGTCCTCGGTTTAGCCATGTTGTGGTTCCACCATGTCCCGTGGGGATATGGTTATATGCATGCTGTGTTACATGTTTTTGATGTTTTGAAAATGTTGTTGAGTTGTTATATGCTAGTGCCTCTTTGATATGCATGTGGTGTTACACCTATACGGTAAGCCTGAGTATGTGGTATATACAAGATGGTGAGACTGTGGGTGAGGTGCAAGCGGTGTTCCTTGTACTACATGTAGGTATAGACGTATTCCTGCATTTCTCTGGCCAGTAGAATAGTATTGACACACATGGCATGAATATCTGTTACACTGCATAGTTTTGGAACTTATATTGATATAAATGCTTTTAGAACTTATATTGCACATATAAGTGAGCTTGGGGTGGAAGATCCTTGAGGACCCCTTGTCTTACTGAGATTTCTAGTTTAGAGATCTCACCCCACGTTTGGAGAATGCTTATTTCAGGATCAGATAATGTTGAGACCTCAGGCGGCAGGAGGCCGGAGCTGAGTTAGATATTGATGATATTATATGCTGACTTGTTGGATGCTGGATATGCATGTTGTTTTATGCTTTGAGCTTCATTTTATGTTACGATTATCTTGTTGAGACGCTGTTGTTTTGGTGAGCATGGGGATTGTCCATGCCACACAGATTTGGTTATGTCTTGTTTTATTTTAGGGTTGTATTAATGTATCAGGATATTGTCTGGGTTACATGATGTAGTGTCGTGACTTAGATACTCACTATATATATATATTGAGGTATTTTAGTAGATGTCTTATTGCAATTTACATTCAGGCGATATTTTATGAAATTGATTAAGTAATCAAGTTGGTAATTGATAATGACGTCATAATTGAAAAGAAAAAGAATATTCCGCATTTCTAATTAAGCGTAGCTTAATACGATGCAATGATAATACTACCGGATATATACGGGATGTTACATCGATCTTGGATCTAGTGCCCTCTCCAAGGTATCTATGAATGAGATACCCTTGAGTCAAGCAGATCATTGTGCACAAAGTACTATAACGGCGTTAGCCAATGATGTGTGTGTGTGCGCACAGTGATAGCATAACAGTAAGAGAGAGAGCGTAACGTACATTTAGGGTTTACCTTGTATTTATATAGGTTACCTATGGGTAGTGTGGATGGGCCTTTAGTACCTCTGATGAGGGCCTAGGCCTGTTTGCTATGCTGTCGTATTAGGATTAATATCCTTGATGGATATCTATCCTATGTTAATATCAATCTGTATCTTAGATTGCCTCTGGTTGGGCTTATCACTTAATGGGCTCATTATACGGGTCCATAACAGTATGGGATAAAATTATTTTTTATACACATATAAAAGTACGTAAGATTTATATAAGGAGAAGATAAAGGAAGGAAAAATATAAAACACACACTTTTATGTATTTATTTTCTATAACACGAAAAATATTAATCAAAGGCGTTTGTTACGCGGATTATATTTTGTAACCCGGGAAAATAAACTTGGGAATAGTTGTTTGCAGCGTTTGGTACACAAATAAGGAAAAGTTTCTCGAGTAAAAGTATTAGCCGATTTGCTTTTGTTTGTAAATCTACTTATCCCAGGCAAATTTTATTCAACCGAATATCTTTTTGTAACTTATCCGAAAAAATCAGTTCCTACTAATCTTCTCGTAATATTTTAAAAAAAACTACCAAACGCTCCAAAAAAAAAAAAAACAATTGCAGATCAAGTATATGGCATGGGTCGGGTTAGACCTGAGGGAGAACTACGGGTAACATCTATCTAAATTGAGTGAAGACAAAATAAACGATCGGGGTTGATTAGGTGAACCCAATAAGGCCATAGCATTAAATGATTGCTTCAAGCCATAGATCTTCAGAATCTCCCTCTCAATATGTGTACCTTCACTCTCTTATAACTCTCTCCCAACCCAACAAGGACAAAAAGAAGTTTCTTCCTTTCACTTATCAAAACACTCAAGATTTTCTCTCTTCTTCTTTATTTTCCCTTTCTTTTTCACCCAAACAACATCACAACACAGCACAGACCACAGTGAAGTACGGTGTAAACAGCTGCATGAACTGAAACTGAGAGAAGTTTCCAAGGACCAGCTGAACAAGCTATATTACTAGGGTTTCAGAGTCATCAGAAGAAAGGGAAAGAAGGGTTTTTTTATAACATGGAATGGATTATAGGACTTTGGGTTCTGATGGGTATCCTTTTATGTTGGTGGTTTCTTTGTGTGAAGGAGGAGAATAAGGTAAAGAAGAAGAAGAATAAGAAGAAGGGAAAAGTTCCAAAAGGGAACACAGGTTGGCCTTTCATTGGAGAGACCCTTGATTTCATTGCTTGTGGCTACACCTCTAACCCTGTCACCTTCATGGAAAAGCGCAAGTCCCTGTAAGATTTCTATTATTTCAATTTATGCTTCTTATTTATTACCTTCGGCATTCTCATTCTTTCATTCTCGACGAGGGTAATGATGACATGCATGCTTACCCAAATAATACTAGCATTTCAATACATTTTTTCTTTTTTCTCTGCTTTCTAATTATCTTCTCCACAAAGAAGGTTGGAGCTTTACATCATTGATGCACACAAGTGATTTCCCGAGTGACAAGAACTGTCAATGGTCAATTTATAATAAGAGAGATATGTTTGTGATTCCTTATTAGGAATATCCTTACACCTATATATTAATCGGTTTAATTTAGGGTTTTATTAGTGTTACTTAACATGATATAAGTGTTGTTTCTAACTCTCACATCAAAATGGAGAGAGAAAGTAGAATGATGAAAGAGAAAGAAAAACATGTGGACCCCACCTCTTTAATGTGTGTGTAGAAAAGTGAAGTTATATTATGTTAAATGATAAACATAAAACCCTTTTAATTTATGTTGTGACTTAACTACGATGAACTCCATATTTATTAAAATAAAAAATTTATTCGCAAATTGAAAAATCACAACATGATAATTGAATTTTTATACAACATAAGAAAATATTTTTTCTATGTTAATGTACGAGAATATAGTTTTTTATATACCATGAGATAAAAATTATGTTATGCACATAAAAAAATAAAAAATAAATAAGATCTATTTGTTTTTCTTTTTCTTTTTCTTAATAATTTTCAATCATTTTTTTCTGTACATAAAATAATTTTGGCTTCATGCAATATGTGAGATGGTATTTTCTTAATTAATTAATATATATAAGGAAATCTTATATTTATAAGAATTATAAATTATATTATATATTTCAAGAAATACATTGATTTAAGAGTATATTATTTAAAATACATAATATATTTATAAAAATTTATAAATATAACCATCATTATATAAGAAATATAAAAACCACTAAAAGCTTTTGTCCCCGTGACGTTTCTTCTTCTAGCTAGTCTATTCTTTGTCAATGACCAACTTTTGTGAGTCTATGGTCCTTCACTAAATTCGCATACTTTTTATCGGTGGCCATCCATGTGTTGGGGACGATTTCGTCCTTTCAACGGGGGTCCACATGAACATATTGAAGCACTAGAAGAAAAGGAATAGTTAGAGTGAATATTTACTAACTATTCCTAGTTTCTAGTTGCTTGGTTCTAGTTTTTTTTTTTTTTCTTTTGAATGTTCACTACATCTATTTCTATTTGTGATTTATATATCATCACCCAGTTCAAATTAATATTTTTAGCAATTAGCTGCTTGGGTATAGCTTTAAGTTCGTGATTCGGAGAAATGGAAAATAACAAAATTTTAAGTTGTGAAAAGCACTCACACAGTATAACAGAAATTCTCTATCTGGCATAATCAACTTTACTTAATGCGAAAAAAGAAGGGCATGTGAGAATAAAGTGAAGCTTTTGAAAGCATGTATATGGAATGGAGGAATTAGATTTCACTCACATTAACTGTATGTCGGTGGATAAAGTGCATATAAAACCATTAAATAAGATACAGAGTACCGAATTTCTTTCTTACAAAAAGTTCTTTTTTTTTTGTAAATTCTTACAAAAAGTTCTTGGTCATGTTCACGGGAGAAAACCAATTTAGTTTTGAATTGTTTTCCTCTAGTCAACGTAAAACATTATTCTTGTGTATGGAAAAAATTGTTATCCTTTGTTGTGCACATACAAAAGACAAATGCCAGTTTTACGTGTTTCACCCTATTTAGGGTTAAACCAACGATGTGGTAATTGTAAAGCATATATACTCTCAATCAAGTGATCGAAAATGATATTTCACAACGGAAGAAGTGTGTATCATTTTAAAGGATGTAAAATTAAGAAGTGAATCTTCTCATGTGAAAAAATGGTCATATGGTCATGTTATTTGATCACAATTATTCATTTAAAAATTATACATTTTTCTCTCTCTTATCTCATTATCAATGAATGGTTGTGATCAAATAATATGATCACATGATTACTTTTTCACATAAGAGGATCCACTTTCGTAAAATTGTGTTATTTTAAGTGAGAGAAAGAGATAGATAAAAAAAGAGAGAGAATGAACAAAAATATAAAAACGTGAGTTCTGTGAGATGAAAAAATATAAATTATTCCTTTCACAATTTATACCTAGAGAAGTAGCTAGCCTGCGTGAGTCACCACAACCTCTAAAACTGAATTGAATGAATGAATGTAGCTCAAGAAATGCAGGTACAGATTACGAGCTCCATTATTCGGAACATTAACGCCCTCGTGATACAATTAATAAATATCACCCCTTTATGGTTGTACCGTTGTAGGCTTGCAGCTTCTAGAGAGAGAAGAACATATCCAAAAAGTAAGAGCAGAAAAAGCATGCTCCTAGAAACTAGCGCTAGCAAGATAATAATCTTCTATTTATTATTTAACATCATCGTATCATCTGAAAAAATCTCATCTTAATACGGGTAAATTAAGGAAAAAGTGTATATCATTTTAAATATGATGTAATGTTATGTCATTTTAAGTGAGAAAAAGAGATAGATAAAAAAAAAGAAAGAGTAAACAAAAAATATAAAGGTGTGAATCTCACTTCTTTATGAAAATAAAAAGATATAAATTGTATTATTTAAAAAGATAAATATTTTTTCCGTAAATTAACGCTAACGAGAGAGAGGAAAAAAAAAACATTGATAGATACAGGGAGTAACAAAATTATTTTCATTTATTTATTTTTTAATAATTAAGACATGCTTCTGTTAAATAACATATGATGTGGTGTCACTGAGATAAAAATTTAATGACAATTTATAAAACACATCAATATCAATAACACTTTTATTTTAAATAAAAAATAAAAAATAATTATTTTAGTTCGTAGCATTGATTTATTAATTTATTAATGAATGATGGAAATTTTTCATTGAGACACTATCCACACCCATTATTCTTCCCCTCAAATCTATGATTTTAAAATGAAAGATAGGAACATGATTATTTTCTTTTCATTTTAACAATGAATATATATATATACTTGCAGGTATGGTAATGTGTTTAAGACGAGCATTTTGGGAACTGGTGTGATTGTGTCCACAGACGCAGAGGTGAACAAGGTTGTTCTGCACAACCAGGGGAACATCTTCGTACCTGCTTATCCAAAATCAGTTAGAGAACTAATGGGAGAACACTCTATACTCCAAATGAACGGGAACATGCATAGGAAAGTTCATGCACTCCTTGGATTGTTCCTCAGATCCCCACAACTCAAAACTCGAATCACCAGAGATATTCAGCACTCTGTCAAAGAATGCTTCGCTACTTGGACCCACCAACCAATATACATTCAAGATCAAGTCAAAAAGGTCTCTTTTTCATTAATTCTTTTCTCTGTCATTCATGTGCTTATTAAATCCACCGGTGCTGGTTATACTTACGAATTTATTTGGTTATCATAGGATCAATTTGAAATCAAACACATCAAAAAAAAAAAAAAAAATTCAACCGTTGATTTTAAATTGATAATCACAGAAACAGCAAGTGGTAAATATAAAAAAAAAAAATTAAGCAACTAAAAATATCCCTCGTTAATTTGCTCAACTAACCCAAATCTTCTCGACTCAATCTTAAAAATAAAATTTATATATTTATATTTGTTTTCTTCATATTGACATGATTACCAAGTAATTCAACGGCTGACAATTTTTTATTTTTTATTTTTTATTTTTACCATGGACAAATGTATATCAGATTACATTTACTGTTTTGGTTAAAGTTCTGATGGGGATTGGCCCCGGGGAAGATTTAGACTTCTTGAAAAGAGAATTTGAAGAGTTCATCAAAGGGTTGATATGCGTACCACTCAAGTTTCCAGGAACAAGACTATATAAATCCTTAAAGGTTTTTTTTTTTTTTCCTCACTCAAAATATTATTATTACTTGTTTAATTAATTAAAAAAATAATAACAATTACAGCTAAAAATGTTGTTAGTGCAGGCTAAAGAAAGAATGATGAAGATAGTAAAGAGGATAATAGAGAAAAGGAATAATATTATGTATAATAATAAGGATTCAGTGAAGGATGGTGCAGTGAATGATGTGGTGGATGTGCTCTTACGGGATAGGGGTGACTCTGACTCTATCTCTAACCTGTCATTGGAAAATATCAGCGAAAACATAATTGAGATGATGATCCCTGGGGAGGAGACTCTCCCAACGGCTATGACCATGGCTGTCAAGTTTCTCAGTGACTATCCTGTTGCTCTGTCCAAATTAGTGGTACGTTTATTTACTTTCAATATGTTTGTTATGTTAACAAACCTACACACACAATTGCGAAGATAAAGGAGAAAGAAAAATTAAGAGTTGGGATCCACATAAAATTGTGTATGTAGAAAAATTATGTTACATCACGTAACATAACAAACATAAAACTCTATATATATATATATATATATAGAAAAATGTTTGTCATTTTAGATAAAACAATGTAATTTTAGTATATATTTGATATTTTTTACTTTCTCTCCCCTAAAATTAGGTAGAAAGAGAAAATAAAAGAGAAAGAAAGCAAAATATACCAATTATGCTTAAATTCTACAAACACCATGTACCAGTTATGCTTATATTAGTTAAATTCTACAAACACCATGTGAGTGATTATTTTTGTTCATGAAATAACTTTATTTTCAGCACATATATGTGAGTGGAGGGAATTCATTTTTTCTTTTTTTTATCCGGCTTCATCCACTTTTATGTGTCCCCAAAAAAAAGAGTTATCTCATGCTTAAACTTTTTTTATATACATAAATTTTAACTTTAATTTTAAGAAAATAATGTTTGATGGAAAAAAAATACTATACACAAATTATACAACATATATATACATGTATGGTTCTATTACGCCAAAAAAGATAGGAGTTTTAGCGTTTAAATATGGGAAATATAAGTATTATATTGTTGGAGAGGAAAAAAATTTATAGCACACAAATTCAAAGACACGGTTATCGAAGGGTCAAAATGAAATGTTTTTCATCTCTAACAACATAATATTTATATTTCCCTTTAAAAATAGGCTGAAAATAATTGAAAATAGTAGAGACACTATGTTTAATATTCATCTCATTTTATTTTTCTAAACTTTAAATGCGGAAGCATCTAAGTAAAGGAGTGAGATAGGAAGCCAAGTAAATAATTAAATCTTCCATAGCATCATCACACTAATTATGAATATTATGGTTGATCTCGATTGATCTTTAAGTAAACTGACATAATGTCTTACCAGTTGGTATCTGCAATTCACCAAATTTTTCTTATATAGTTCCATTTCATGTTTATTTTTGTCAGCTCAATGCTCTAAACCTATTTCTCAAATCATATGTATCTTTGTAAGATAAGCCTGTGGTCATATTTATCTTTTCATTAACCGAAACTAAATTTCTCTTTAATAATCTTAAGATGGCAATTCGAATTCAAGTAATTAAAACAGAAAGCATACCTCTTTAACCACAAACTCCATTCTTTTCACTTCTTGAAACAAAATTACAAATGTAAAGAATTGAGTCTGTATAGTAAACATGAATAGAATCTATAAGAAATTTTGACGAACCCTAAAGATGAGTAGTGGTATCCGAAGTACTGTGAGTAGTCATTTTCCTAAGGAGCACTAAAACGTACCCGAGTGACTGTGGGGTACACATGGATGTGCAAATATGGGTGTGTGGGGGTTTCCTTGCCGTACGATACTACATTGAGCGGCTGTGAAGGCAGGACAACAAATTAAATTCTTCCACTGGAGGACGCAACCGCTGCCTGTCTCCTTTTCCTTTATGTTTCTGAATTTTAATTGTTTTTTCGTTGGGAAAAAGTTACTGTTTGGTAGTGATTTCCAGTTTGATACTCTACATTAAATGTTTTTTTTTCCTTCTAATTGTTTTCAAATTAGAATTGCAATTGCACAAAGAAATGCTACTGCTACTGTGCATCACGTACTTATTATTTTTATTAGGGCACTTGATCCCTTTCCATTGGAACTCACCAAATATTGTCAATTAAATCCATGTTGAAGAAATTAATTTATATTTGATTTGTAATACCAGGAGGAGAACATGGAATTGAAGAGGCAGAAGAATTGTTCAGATGATTATGCGTGGACTGACTACGTGTCACTGCCGTTTACTCAAAATGTGAGTCTCTAATGTTAACTATCAGAAGCGAAATCAGGTGCCAACGGATTATAATCTTACTTCCTATAAAAGAGCATATGACATTTTTCTTCATTGCTTTTTGGTTCATTTACTTCCCACAGGTTATCAGCGAAACTCTTAGAATGGCAAATATTGTCAATGCCATTTGGAGAAAAGCAGTCAAAGACGTAGATATTAAAGGTTAGTTTTTCAAAAAGGGAAGGTATTTCTATTGGCCCTCAATCATTTGTACAAAGGAAATATTTCAATAGTTTCTCTATTCTGAATGTGCAGGGTACCTAATTCCTAAGGACTGGTGTGTTGTGGCATCTCTTACTTCTGTTCATTTGGATGGCATGAACTATGAAAACCCTTTTGAATTTGATCCATGGAGATGGGAGGTAAGCATCAAAAGCTGCATCTCATAGCCATATAAGGAAATCGTAATCACTCAGCTATTCTATGATTACAGAAAATTGGAGCTGGGGCTAGTAACAACTACTTTACGCCATTCGGTGGTGGACAGAGACTGTGCCCTGGGATAGAACTCTCCAGGCTTGAACTCTCTATTTTCCTTCATCATTTGGTTACTACTTACAGGTAATTAATTTAACTAGAAAAAAAAAATCTACTTCATGATTTCTATATGTAAATAGTTTGAACTACGCAGATGGGTTGCTGAGAAGGATGAAATTATCTACTTTCCAACAGTCAAGATGAAGAGGAAGCTCCCAATTAGTGTGACAGCCATTAACAACTGATTAGATTGGAGAATCAAGTAATTCTTGTACATTATTATGGATAGATATATGTATTAATTTCAATCTAGAGGGTAAAATTTGAGTAACAAAACGATAAGATAGCCACCCCAGCAAAAAAAAGGGCTATGCATTCTTGTGTTAGCTCTAGTGTCGCATCTATTTTCAGAGGAGAAAGGTTCCCTTGGGCCCTCTTTTTATATTCAAAAATTGAATGCAAGTGGGGATGATTGAAGCTAACTCTAACATCCTATGTCTCTGTCCATTAAATTTTTATGTTTGATACCAATGTAACGTTCGTGGTAGGTTTGGTTTTACATGTGGGTTTAGTTGTGCTCTTGGTCCCATGCCATGACATGGGCTCGTGCTCCACTACCCATTGTTATTATCTCAATGAGTGGAGTTGTACAACTCTTGTACCAGCAGCACGATCGCGCAATCAACACTTCCCATTCATGAAAAGAAAAAGTAAAATGTTACGGGCAAAGATGCAAAGTACAACCGCAAGTGGAAAACACTGTAGGTAGCCTACCCCATTTTATCTAACAAGGAAGCTACTAATAATTCGGAGTTTCACTGTAACCATTGTGTGAGGACATAGCATTCTTTAATTGTGTTACAAATAAATTAAAAACAGAAAACAGATAGAAATATCAAGACAAAGGAAGAATAAGAATTAGTTATAATCTTTCTTTTCCTGTTCACCTTTTCATAAGAAAACATGTCCTTACATAGACTCCAAACATAAATAAGAAAAGGGAATATATTCCCAATATAATTCATCATTCTGTAGAATGGTTTCATTTTGATTAGACACAATAATTATAACCATAAACCATTATTAATGACACCCTTAATTGGTAATCATGAGTCATCGAACACACGCAAAATATACATATTTTATAACAGGTTGATATTTATGTGTTTTAACTACTTGACATAATAATGTATTTCTTTTTAGTGTCGCAGGGGTGCCCCCGTCTATTTGGATAAAACCAATCCCCTTCATTACCACTAGCCCCAAGGTGCTTCACCTAGGAATAGAACCAGCAACTTTTCAGCCACAACAGTCTACTCCTTGGGCACAACCTACTTAACAACTATCTCACCCCTTAGGGTTAACAATATATTTAGTTAATTTGTTATTTATATTTTTTTGTTTTTAACTAGATCCTCAGGTTGATTATGTGACTCGAAGGTCACGGGTTCCGGTCATGGGTTCAAGTCTGAAAAATAATCTTTTTACAAATATGCAAGGATAAGGTTGGGCGTACAATCAACCTCATCTCTACCCTCGTAAGTCAAAGAGCCTTGTGCACCGGGTTTACCCCGATATGAGTAAATTCCCTCGGACACTATTACAACAAAAAGGCCCTCTTTATACTTGTTTTCTCCAAAACTTCAACTTTAGTCTATTCTTTTAGTGCACCTGGTTAATCACACCCAACCTTTGTTGGTTTTGTATTAATATTTAATTTAAATGAAACACGATTAAATATTTGTCAATAATTACAGGGGTACTATTTATTTAAAAAATTAGACACCAGAAAAATTAAGGAATGTTTAAATGCAATTACAACTGCAAAATAAGTATTTATAACTATATTCTTTATATATTTAAGTTTAATTAAAAAATAATAATATAGATATATGCAGCAGAGAATGTTTGTCTTTGCCAGCAGTTATTTTTTGTTTTCCCGCCCTGTTGTCCCCTTGATTTCAAATAGTCAAAATCCTACTATGCAGGGAAAGATATGGTAAAGAAAAATGCTAGTTAATTACCAAAAAAAAAAAAATTCCAGTTGATGATGGAGGCAGATGAAACCAATGACAATGAATTTTGTTCTTAATCTGTTTGGTATGCAATTTTGACTGAAAAGCAAAATAATTTGCTCCTCTTTACACACAACCGAACAATTCAAAACCTTGTCCTACACAAAGCACTCGAAAGGTATAGGCCAAATAGGTAACAAAGCCTGTAAATTGGGGAAATTGGAATTTTTACATCGGACATGAAGAGGGAAGATGTAAGCTCCAAATTCATATGCATAGATCTACACACACACAATTGGTGCGACTAAGAACAATCTCACACCCGTGAACCTGGACTGCTAGATTTAGTAATATGCAGAGTGATCTAGCTACATAGAGAAGGGGTTTTTTTAATTTTTGTTCCCATAAAAAGGGGAGTGCGTGTAGCATTTACTATCCTGGCAGGGGAGAGGGTTGAGAAAGCAAGGAGTTACTTACTTCCCTGTTATTGAGAAAATAAATGCTCAAAATAGGCACATGGTCACCCAAATAACAGACAACAAAGAACAATATTGAAGATGTAGTAAGAGTGTGTAGAGAGTTCAAATCATAACAGGCTTGAAAACTAAACCAGTATTACCAACTATAGATGAGGTCCCAAACAAAGTCAAGCCATCGATTTTTTCTTCTCTTCCTCAAGTCGCTGCAACTCAGCCAGTCTTTCTGCCCACTCTCTTTCCCTTGCAACTGCAGCCATTTTGCGCTCTACCCTCTTAATATTCTTCTTCCGATTAGCCTCTTGCAGCTGAGCTTTTCTTTTCTTCTTTTCAGCCTGTACGGAAAAGAGTCCACATTGAACACAAATTTATCTTAGGTGAAAAACAATTACCAGCATAATTTCAGACATAACCTACCTGCTTGATATAAAACCACAGAACAAATTCTTCCAATAAGGTATTTTTGGACTAATACCATAGAGAAACTTCTAGTTTAGAAAACCAAAAATACATTCAAACATGGCATGGGTATTTTGCTAAGTTTTAGGAAATTTACTCCAACCACCCTAATATAAAGCTAAAATAACAAGCACCTCCTGACAAATAAAAAATGATCATACCATTTAGCCTCAGCAAATTGTGAAGTTGTAAACAAAATCAACTACTTAAATTCACACTTGACAATCAATTATTGGTCACATAAGGCCAGTATACTCCATAGTTATGTTGAAAGCTTTAAAGAACCAATTCAACTCAAAAACTTAAGCTATTGAGTGAGACTATATTAATGATTTTATATATCTCAATACGCCCCCTCACACGAGAGCCCGCCCACTGGGCTTGAAGGGTGGATGATGCACAGGCCCACCTACCCTGTGCGAAGAAAGAAATTCCACTAGAGAAAGTGGAGGGCGACGAGGATCAAACCCGGGATATGAGGCTCTGATACCATGTAAAGAAACAATTCAACCCAAAAGCTTAAGCTGTTGGGTGAAGCTACATTAATGATTTTATATATCTCAACAAAACAAAAGCCATGACCAAATAATGATCTAATACTATTAAAACATTCATATAGGTCAGCTCCCTTGGTTATCAAATTTGAATTTCTAAGCAGTGGTTATTACGGTATAAGCATGAATATGGAATACTTTGACATTCGTCATTCGTGAGAGAGCATCAAGAGAGCCAAGGCTATTCCATGTTATAATATCATTAATCTTAAAAGCAAAGTGCAAATACTAAACAAGAGAATGATTCAATACCAATATAAAAGCACGGCGCTGCCTCATGCGTTTCTTCTCGTTCCTCCTCTTGATGCTACCTTCATTGGGCTTATTCGGAAGTATGGGTTCGCCAGGTGTATACTGAACCCAAGCATAAGGCCCTTAACCACGAAAAAATTAAAAAAATAAAAATAAAAAATATTCAGAGTTTGAGATGGAATTCGAAAACGAAAGTACAGAGAACTAAAAATGTGGACGCACCTAGGGGTTTCAAGCTTGCCCTCTTTCGACGGGGTTTATCAGAAGGTCGTCTCTTAGGGAAGCGAGTGTCTGTTAAGCTGTGGAACTGATTCCAAAGGGGAACAAGCCATTGTGGCGGTTTGCAGGTAGATGACAAAGCGGCACAAAACGGCGCCGTCGAAGGAGTGGTGGATATTCGTGAAGTTAAGGCCCTCGATGATGAGAGCGAAAGAGGGCGAAGAATGTTTCTCAGTGCTCCGAATCCCATTTTTCTCTCTTGGTTTTGCGCATAGAAACACCAAACGGTAAAACCTCTATGCGATCGGAAATGAGGTGGGAGTGTGAAGAGATGGAAGCAGTTTGTGGGCCTGATGGGTTCAGCCCAAACCCAGGATCTATAGCCCATTTAAGAATGGGCTAAGGAGAGAGGTTTTGATAGTTGATTAATATGTGTCCTTTAAGGCCTTACCTACTAAGTTGTGTTGTTTAAATCGAACTGGACTTAATGTCATAACACTAAATCAGATGTTTTACTAGTTATAGTTATAGTTTTTGTTTTTAGTCAAATTCATATTTAGATAAAGTTAGAGAGGTCATGACTAATAAAAAATAGATAAATTAGACGAGCCACACCAACTAAAATTGTATGGGAATCATTTCACATTTTATAAAAGTTTTTTTAATATATATTTCTTGTTATACGTGGATTATTATTTGTATCTTCATCAAATTTGACTAATAGGATAAACTAATTATACCTATAGCCAACTTTTTGTCTAGCCTAAGTTTAACAACATTGCTATAAAACCTCAATGTATATGGACAAAGGCTTAGTAAGTTAAGCCAACCCACTTTGACACTTCACCAAAACAAGCATAATTGTGGGACCAAATTTTTTCTCAGAAAGGTTTAAACTAACTCATTTCATGATGTTCTTTACAGTTGAGAATAATAATATAAGATCAAATTATATTTTCATTCACTTTCTTGTAAAGTTTACGTGAGTTAAAAATAAATAACACTAAAGAATTTAATGGGTTTGAGGTGATGCCCGTAGATTGAACCGATCCTTTTGTCATACTTGTTAGGTTATTTAAATGTGAGACTCATCACACTTGAATAACCTAATAATCTCCTCCTCAAGTGTGAAATCTAACATTGGTATGCTCCCCCTCAATCGAGTACCCAAGGTCCAAGTACTTAACCCTCATCTAGTCAAACACTCAGCTAGCTTGAGCCTAACCTGACTTTGATACTACTGCCAGGTGGGTCTAGGGGAAGCCCGCTACAGAATGCTGGATATGGCTCATATTTCGCATGTTGGCCCTTGTTGGCGGGATCAGCAGAAAGACAACTAGGAACCCACTCCCAGGTGAGTAAGCTGGGGTTTGGGGGAGTCGTTCCACTGCTCCCGACCCCTTAGAGGCTTGGTCTTGTTATGGGCCTCTGATTATTGTAAATTTATTTTTCTTAGTAGTTTAGATTTGAGCCATGAATATATGTTATTAAGATTTTCTAAATCCTATTTATATTCTCTTGTAAATCGAGTGACTTGTAATGATTGACAATGAGGTGAATATAGTATGAACTATGAATATAGTACAGACAAACTTCTTGGACGTAGCCTACATAGGATGAACCATGGTAAATTACTCTGTCGATTTCTCTTTTCCCTTTCTCTTTTAGTTTTTGGATTTGTGTGTGTGATTTCCAACAATATTCATACATATCATTGCATGCTTTATTCTTGTCGATTCATACCAATATTTGGAGCGGTTATAGTGCAGCACTGCCACCAAATTTTAAAAACAAGACAAAGAAACATGAACAAAGCATGGAGTGAACTAAGGTTGGCAAAAACGAGCCAACCCATCGGCTCGGGTTGAGTTTTCTAGCTCATTTTTTTTCAAGCCAAACCTAACTCGGCTCATTTTTTTCGGGTTGAATGCGGGTTGGGTCGTGCCGGGTTGGCCCATTTTGCCAACCCTAGAATGAACTAATAATTTTTTTGAGCTTACGGGGAATTGAATTCGTGATTTCTTGTAAACATGTCGTGCTCTTAATCCGATTGAATGCTCAACCTTTTAGGAGCATTTGGAATTGAAAATGTTTGCTCCTTGCTTTAGATTGGGGAGTACTCCAATTACACTGGATGTAGAAACTGCAATTGCCCCATTTTCATGTTATCATTTTCTATCACAGACTATAACAACATAATTATGGTTGTACCTCTTTTCCTTTCCTATTGCAGTGCCACAACACAACAGAAAGAGGATAGATATATTCATACTAAGAATTTTGTGCTGGAGTGGGAAAATAAATGAGAAAAATGTTTGTTCTTTGAAATGATAGAATATTATATTATTTTAAAAAAAAATGATAATGTTTCACTTAATATTTAAATTAAAAATTTCCCATCAATAATCTTCTATTTTGTGATAAGTCTCTCTCATCATAAAATACAGTCATTTATTTAAAATGATACAATATTTTATCCTTTAAAGGGAGAAATACTTTTTCTAAAATAAATTTCCGTCATTGGCATATGTAGAAATATTGATATATATCAAATACATTTTTGGGGAGAGACGAATAACTTTAACTATGACTACGTTCTGGAGGATTAGTTTTATTGTGGGCTCAAAGAGTCGAAACTTATAAGGATACCTAAGAGTCGACTCACCTCAAAGAGATAATTAAGTTCGGTAAAAAAATATAATACCCGAAAATAAGTGACAGTACCAGACGTGCTAAGAAGTGTTAAAAAAATGGTATTGGTCAATAATACTAATGTTGTCGACAAAAAGTAATACTAATAATCATATATGGCAAATCTTTACGGAATTTTGACGGAATATATATCGATCGTATTGTGTTTTGTTGAAATTTTTGATTTATTTAATTTACGGACATATATGGTAAATCCCTTCAAAATTATATACAGAATTGTAAAAGAGCATTTAATGTCAAAAAAAAGTGTACTACGTCAAAAAATTCGTCCAAAACTACGTTAAACGCCCTATGATTAAACACTTTATTCAAGATCAAAGGTAGATACAACTTTTGAATCATACAATTACAGCTATACAAAATTATGCATATGAAGAAACTAATTTTACAAGAAAACAACAAGACAACGAAACTTGAACCAATAATCAAGAATCAGAACGGTAAAACAGAAATATAAAAGAATGGAGAGGACTTCCCAATCTTCATAAGGCTGAGTAGGAATCGTTGTTCCTCTTACAAAACCTCCAAGCTATCCACCGTAAGCCCCAAAGGTTTTCCTTGCAGATTCACCTCTCCACCACTTTGAGCACCAATAAGAAAAATCCACCGATCAATAGAACCATCTTGTTGAGATGAATAAGATTCTCCAAAGCACCATAGCCAAATTCACAATGTTTCACTTAGTGTTTGCAAAAAAACTACTCAAGTTTACAAACCCTAACAAAGATGTTGAAGAGAGTTTTCTTTCGAGAGAATATATCAGATATCAATGTGTTATCAGCTACTCACAACAAAAGGGAACAGATATAGTATTTAGCCATCACATGACAAAACGCAGACGTTTTGGAATGTGTTGCTTAATGCACTTAGCTCTAACTTTAGCTAAATAGCTAAATGCATATTGGGCTTCAAGTATCCACACTGGCCCAACAGACATATATAACAACTATCAGACAAATAGATCAGTCCAGTGAACAAATAGAAAAGTGAAACAAATAAAACACATTTTGTTTAGGAAATATATATACTACAAAACTCCACCTATTTTCTAAACATACAACAGAATAAAAATGCAAACCAGATTTGGTGTAGGCATTTAACCCATAGGCCTATACGCAATGCATGATCATGGTGTTTCAATTTTTAGCAAACATAGAGCATCTCTAAATTTGCCAACAGGCACAGATTTTGTAAAAATGTCAACAGGATTAATAATACCAGAAATTTTCTCAACAATTACTTGTTCACTAGCTATCATTCCCTAATAAAATGAAGCCTAACATCTATATGCTTTGTTCTTTCATGAAATGCAAAAAAAGTTGAAAGATGGATAACACTTTGTGAGTCACATTTTACCTTTGGTGGGTTCTTACCTAAACCCAACTCACCTACTATACCTTTTAACCATAGGGCTTCCTTGACAGCTTCAGTTAATGCCACATATTCAGCTTCAGTTGTTGATAATGCCACTATGTGCTGAAGATGGCACTTCCAGCTCACTACATTACCTCCCACAGTAAACACAAAACAAGTTAGTGACCTACGTTTATCAAGATCAGCAGCATAATCAGAGTCACAATATCCAACAATATTAAAATCAATTGAATCAAATGCAGATAAGTTTAAACAACAATCAACAGATCCATTTAAGTATCTAAGCAGCCATTTAACTACACTTCAGTGCTCTTTGCAAGGTTTACTCATAAACCTACTTATCATACTAACACCTTATGCTATGCCCGGCCTTGAGCCAATTATAGCATACATCAGACAACCAACAACATTAGAACAGGGAATATATGACATATATTGAGCTTCTTCAGGAGATAATTCTCCAGAAACATATTTGAGCCTAAAATGAGCACCTAATGGAGTGCCAACAGGCTTGGACAGATGCATCTCAAAGATTCTTAGAACCTTTTTGACATACTCAGACTGGGATAGTGACAGATGTCTATATTCCCTTGTCCTTGTAATTTCATGCCAAGAATCCTCTTGGCTGGTCCAAGAAATTTCATTTGAAATTCCTTTTTCAGCATATTCTTAACAGAATTTATTTCACTTAAATTTTTAGATGCAATCAACATATCATCCACATATATCAACAAATAAATGTAATTGCCATCATGCAAATTTTTAAAATAAACACAATGATCAAAACTACTTCTAGCAAAACCTTTTGATAAAACAAAATCATCAAAATGTTTATACCATTGTCTGGGGGCCTGTTTAAGATCATATAATGATCTCTTCAACAGACACACCATGTTTTATGTTCCCTTCTTTACAAAGCTTTCAGGCTGTTCATATAGATTTGCTCCTCAAGATTGCCATGGAGGAAGGCAGTCTAGACATCAAGTTGCTCGAGCTCTAAATCATAGATAGCAACAGCAGACACCATCAGCCTTATTGATACATGTTTGACTACAGGTGAGAAAATCTCATTGTAGTCAATTCCTTCAACCTGGGAGTACCCTTTAGCCATTATCCAAGCCTTAAACCTTGCTGGTTCCACTCCTAGTATTTCTGGTTTTTTTTTAAAAATCCATTTCCAGCCAATTACTCTCTTTT